ACTTTATTTATTTATTTATTCTTTATTGTACACACTGAACACATACATATATATAAGTAACAAGGAAATGTCATGTACAAAGGCGAGCTTAACCCAAAACTGAGTTTTCTTCCAGCAAACCTTATTTTATAAGTTTGCTGGAAGAAAACTCAGTTTTGGGTTAAGCTGTTGTGTTGATATCCATGGTTTATATTGAGTAATTGCCACTACTTTTTTGCTTTCTTTCTCTAATACCCACGAAGATTGAGGCGGACCTCTAGCGCCCTCAGAGGGTGGTGGCCGCACTCTCCCATGGGATTCAGAGGCGGAAATGAGACTTGTTGGCTGTCCCGGTTGGAGGCTCCACGTACTGGCTTTGGCAACGTGGGCACGTGGCAGCACAGGATCGTTTCATTTCGACTGGTCAAGGTAACGTCGGGCGCTTATGCAGTCATCGGAGAGAGTTTCCCGCTACCAGCCGTTATATAGCTCCATGACTGGTAGCAACATATGTTTTACAGCGGTGAGTCGCATCCTTTGACGAGGGCGTCGTGTCTTGCAAAAGGCGGAGAGGGCTTGGAAGGAAGATCACCATGCGGATCCAATTCACCGCTGGCAGCGGCGCTTTCTAGGGGCTCTACCACCCTGAAGGTGGTTTAGGTGAATGGGTTTTAGCTTCCACTCATAACGAGGGCCTACTGCGAAGAAATGACGTCCTCGTGTGGCGGACGTTTCCTAAAGAAGAGTTTTTCTCCGAGGACGGGGCCCGTGATTTTGAAGGGCAGGCGCTAGCAGGGGATCGGTGCCGTCATCTACCCAAGTGCGAAGGGTTTCTGTTCTCGTGGAAAGTCGTGCGGTGTTCCGCAGTGGTCGGTGTTAGGGCCGCTAGAGTCGAATATCGGCTATGACTAGGTGCTTCGCAGTACCGTCTTAGATGGTGTCGCCATCACGTGCTAAAGATTCGTGTAAAGATTCTGTAGTTGGTGGAAGTGTCTCTGGACATATTTGAGGCCTTGTTCTTTCATGGTCCTTCGATCCACTTGCATTGACATGGAGCCCTCGATAAGGTATCTGGGGCTCATACTGGGTTGGGATCCTTGGATTCGAGAAATTGAGCACTAGAAATCAGATCTCCACCGACTACCAAGCATCGGGTAAGACCCGTTATGAAGGATTAGCTCGAGAGGAAAGACGGGACTCTCTCATACCGGCTTATGCAGGATATCACCTGTCTCAGATCCGCAAGTAACAATAGCCTGAGTGGCCAGAGCGGTAACACGGCGCTCCAGACGCTGCTAGAATGCCCGGCATGGGTGGAGCAGAGGCGTGGCCTCGTGAGGGCTATCGACATGAGAATTCTCTAGTTCGTTGCCATGATTGCGGCCATAGTACAAAGTGAAAGCGCCACCTCCTTCTGCGAGCGGGATCTAAAGAGGCTTAGCCTCTACAGGTACCCCAGGCCCGGGAACGGGCCGCGTACTAGAGGCGGCTCTGGCGCCGGAGGTCTCTAAATGACCTCCGTCCTGCATAAGTGTAAGCCTGGGTGACAGGTGAGACCAGGTGTCAGGTGAAGCCAGGTAGTAGGTGAGGCCATCTGTCACCAAAAAAAGGAAGGTCCGGACATCTCATGTAAAAAAAAGTTATAGTAAAGAAATGCCAACTAAAATTTGGAGTATCACACATTGAGTAACGTCAACTAGGAGCTACGTGTGATGCTTGCTTGGGGCGCTCTTAATATTTAATACGCCTCTGCAGCAGGGTGACATTACAGCGTGCATCGGTAGATCGCGGCACCGTCAGCAGTAGCACGTGTCATGCCTACTAAAAATATTATAGTACACGACAATGGTTCCTAAACTTCTCCTTTGTGATTATTATATGGTGTTAAATTGATATTCATTTTTGTTTATTAATATTTTATTTCTTTGAATCGATTTTTAAATAAAATATCATGAACACCGCACGGTGGCCGCAAGGAAACTTTCGACTCGTTGTTCTTGTCGTTAACAATGACACCGTAAACTAGATTACGTGACATATTATTATGTATCAGTACTAAGACCAAAAGATAAAGAAAGAGTCAAGGATGTCGTTGTTTTTTGATTACAAATTATCTGTGCCTCAATGTTGACATATTTGACATTTCAATAATCATATTATGATATGTCTTGATATGATTATGTGCTTCTGTCTTCTAATCTGCTTGAAAATTAGTTTCGGTAGTTCTTGATATAGCGCTTCTCCACAAGGCCTTAAACGAGTTAATCAATATAAATCACAAACATTTGTTAAAACTTCGGTTGTAAGAATTAAAGAATCCTTCTCATATTACTCTCTCGTACACGTTTTTAATAAAACAATTAGAAAATATACCTAGTTCTTTTTATAAGTTTAAATTTATAATATTACTCGTATTGAAGCTCCTGATGTAAATCAAAGTACTGCATATTATTATTTTTTTGACGAAGGAGCCTCACCTCATTATAATTAAATATCTTTTATTAGGTACGTGAAAATAATCTACCTATTGATAGTGTGGGATAGTGAACTTAAAAGCCTTTATGCCCTTATGGTTTTCCTGCTGTAGGATTTACAAACATAAGCGCATTGTATGATAGTTATTAACACATTATATGTACCTAAAGGCCTATGTGCAGTGGACTGCGGTAGTTTGATTATGATAATGTACCTAAATATGTATTTATTTATTTATAAGTACATAAAAACTTTTAATTACGTTATAGATTCATAGGAAGCACTTGAACTATTTATAATATCGATTACTTCACTAACTAGTTACTAAACTTAAACTGAATTAAATACGAGGGCGGGTCAATAAGTCCGTGACTTTTTGAATTTCTGACCTCTTTACTGAAAAAGCAAAAAACTAACTGACGCAGCAAGTTCAAATTTTGACTCCTGTCAAAATTTGAACTTGCTGCGTCAGTTAGTTTGTGTTTGACAGCTATCCTTATCAGACTACCCAGTAATTTGATGAAAAATGGAAAAAAGTGAATTTCGTGTGCTTATTAAGCATTATTTTTTGCAAAAAAAACCATTATCTAAGCTTGATAAATACTATTGGGACTCTGCACCATCGATTTCAATGGTAAAAAAGTGGTTTACTGAATTTCGTTGTGGCCGTACAAGCACTGAAGATGCCGAACGTCCTGGGCAGTTGAGGTCTCTTCACCCGAAACAATCGAAAAAATTCACGATATGGTGTTGGCCGACCGAAGATTGAAAGTGCAAGAGATTGTGAAAGCCGTAGGGATCTCGCATGGCTCAGTGGTTTCAATTTTGAATGATCACTTGGGCATGAGAAAGCTTTCCGCAAGATGGGTGCCGCGATTGCTCACAGTCGACCACAAAAGCAATCGTGTAACAACTTCACAGGAAGGTTTGGCGTTGTTTAATCGCAATATGGAGGAGTTTTTGCGCCGTTTTGTAACCGTGGACGAAACATGGATCCATCACAACACACCAGAGACCAAACAACAGTCAAAACAGTGGGTGTCAGCCAATAAAGTTATGGCGACTGTCTTTTGGGATGCACGCGGGATAATCCACATTGACTACCTTCAAAAGGGAAGAGCAATCAATGGGGAATATTATGCCAACTTATTGGACCAATTCAATGACGATTTGAAAAAAAACCGACCTCATTTGGCCAAGAAAAAAGTTCTTTTCCACCAAGACAATGCAAGGGTGCACACATGTGCAGTTGCCATGGCAAAAATCCATGAATTGGGCTATGAATTGCTCCCTCATCCGCCCTATTCTCCAGATTTGGCTCCGAGTGACTACTTCTTGTTCCCAAACCTGAAGAAATGGCTTGGTGGAAAAAGATTTGACTCCAATGATGAAGTCATCTCGCAAACAAAGGCCTATTTTGAGGACCTCGATAAATCATATTTTTTGGAAGGAATAAAAAAATTGGAGAAGCGTTGGACAAAGGGTATAGAGCTCAAGGGAGACTACGTTGAAAAATAAAATGATTTATTTATCAAAAATCTGTGTTTTATTCCAAAAGTCACGGACTTATTGACCCGCCCTTGTACAACTGGTCACGATGTAAAAAATTCATTTCAATTACATTAATGTATGTTCGTCTAAGTTGAACTCTCGATATTATGACTAGTTATAAAATTAATTTAAGTGTTCATTGCAGCTTATATATAGTCAATGTTATTGTTGGATATTAATAGAATCTTAATGTATAGGTAATATCAACTCCCAATAGATACTTTTTATGAAACTTATAATATTATAATTAATTACTTTTTTGTTTAAGAAATATAAAATGTGGATTATTCTATACAATCATAATTAATCCATAACTCTAAACACTGATTCTGAAATTTTGATCTAGTAAATACAAAAATAATGTGTCTTCACACAGTTTCAGGATTAAAAAAAATTAAGAGTAAATTAATAATAGCCGAACGGGTCCGTCCGTGTCGTGACGGATTAAGAATATGGAGTGTCACCACCCCTATTCATCCCGAGGGTGTTGTAAGAGCCGACTAAGGGAGTAAACTACGCGGGACAACAACACTGCAAAGAGAAGGAAAACTTGACACAAACCCTATACCAACCCGTCTGGCCAGCGTGGTATAGTAGGCCAAAGACTCCTTTCTAAGGAGAGGCCTACGTCCAGCAGTGGACTATTAAAGGCTGTTGATGAACGGATCTGATTATTTTTGTACTGTTGTACTCTATGATTAAATTTAAAAAAAGAGAATTAATTAACGGTTCTTAAATATCAGTAAAAAATATTAAGTTCGAGTACTGTGAAAATAAACGAGGATAAACAAAGGAATGTTTGCCCTCGAATATTTAGTTAGTTGATGCGTCGTCAGTAGGAGGGCGGCGCGTGAGCACCATTATGTTGCGAAAGGTATGTGAACCATCGAAAGTGCCCCCTCCCCCGGATATGGAGCGTACAACTCTTATAAGCACAGGTGGCGCCTGGGCACTGGACATTACACTATCTACCTGCGTCTATTCGCGTACCCAGGATGTGTGACAAAACGGTAGGTGTCCGTGCTGCGCTTACCTAAGGGTATCAGACCCTGATATATCTATTTAGTGTCTTGGTGAAATATCACAGTGAAGTCTTCAATATAAATAAAAATAAGATAATTTGTGGTCCAGTGCTATAACTTTATCGATATCAGTCATAAAAAAAAACACTACCTGTCGTATAATTTAAGTTTAATTAAAATATATGTGTGTGCAGGTACTTCGATCTCTGGTGTGGGCTGTGGTGGTTGCATGTGCAGTCGCAAGGCCAGAGCCTCCAACGTCGTATGGTGCTCCAGGCCCATCTTATAGTGCGCCTTCGTCATCATACGGGGCGCCAGCCCCGGTTTATGGTCCTCCTCAACAACCTACAGTCCACAAACACGTATACGTACACGTCCCACCTCCTGACAATGAGCTGCCGCCACCACGCAAACAAATCTATGTACCTCCTCCTCAAAAACACTACAAGATAGTGTTCATCAAGGCCCCGACGCCGCCAACCCCTACCGCCCCCATTATCCCAGTACAGCCTCAGAATGAGGAGAAGACTCTTGTCTACGTGTTGGTGAAGAAACCTGAAGAGCAGCCTGACATTGTAATCCCGACACCTGCGCCTACACAGCCAGCCAAGCCTGAAGTCTACTTCATCAGATACAAGACACAGGTAAGATCATCATTTTCAGACAATCATTTTCAAATGGTAGGTCATGCCGATATTGGATAAAAAAAACCACTGGCTATAATGCATATTTTGTGCGCTATTTCTAAAGGTCGTCGTGTGTTATACTTATTACATAGCCTTTTTTAACTTTGTCTTTTCTTTCAAAAAATAATAATATAGGTACTATTATTTGTCATCTAAGCTACAAACTAAAATCAATTTCTTCATAATACAAAATATGTATACAATACTATTTGAGGCGTTACATTATCCTTACATGTAAATGTTCTTTGCATAGTTTATATACAATATTTTTCACAGAACTTATATACACGTAACCTGCCTAAAGTTTTTTTATTTAATTTAAAACAATTAATATGTTTCTCACACGCCTGGTTTTATTGAATGTTGAACGAAATCAAAAGTATTGTCGTAATATTAAAAAAAACGAGAAGGTGGGAAACAGTTGTTTTTTAATTACAAAACCGGTTCTAATACAACAATTAACGTGCCAGAACACTGAAGAATCTTAAATTTCACATAAATTACATATTTTCTATGCAAGTTAACGTATCGCCACATAAATGGACCATTATTTCCATTTTGAATCTACCTTTTGAGTTAATAACCACAAACATTAGACCAATAAATGCATTAGGTAGACATACAGTAATAATTTTTCATGGTGCATGGTTTTTAATGATTTATTCCGTTATCAAACCGTTTCATGTCATAATCATGTATAGAGAATACTATGTACTATGTGAAAGTGTTTATGAACATTTCCTAAAACAATCTACTACATTACATTAACGCAATCGAGGATGCCTCCGTACTTCGCCATAACCCGTATCTTCTTTAACGCAATACATACGTTCGTTTCTATCGCAACAAGATGATAAATCGATTTTTTTTTGTACCATAATGGCAGAGATACTGTCCGCATCTCTAGAATTTTTACAACGATGTAATTGGCTTATGCAATAATGATGTACTAAGTACATTTAATCTAAAATTTGAATATTCTTAATAAATGTTATCATTATGCAAGTAGATGTACCCTCGTACGTATTGTCGAATGTCTGAAATAAACACTATTTAATTGTGTTCAAGTTGCTAATCCCTGACCTCATAATATTAATAGAGCGAAGCAAACCTTTTTTTGGCAATATTTGTTTCTAAATTGGAAGATTTTTTTTGTATGACGATGCCCTTTATGTTATCGTTAAGACAAACTGGGATTATAAGACAATTTGTACAGTCGACATCAATGACTGGACTGCACGGATGGCGTAGTAGTTAAGGCGGTCACCACGCCGCTTACTACTACGCTGAGTGTTGTGGGTTCGATCCCCACATGGTACAACACTTTGTATGATCCACAAATTGTTGTTTTAAGTCTGGATGTTCTTTGCGTCCGTTTCATGTATGTTGGTAAAGTCCCACGCGACACAGGATATATTCCTAATGTGGGAGTTGTTTTTTATAAGAAATAAAATGAGTATTCCCTTTTAGCAATAGACCAATTTGTAACAAATCAGCAGGTTATTTTAGTAGGTTTATTTGAACCGTTGGGGGCTTCTTCATTTAAAAAAAATGACGTTTCTTTGCTTCCCCGGACGCATGTTATATTTTGCAGTCTCTTCTTCAGACGTTGTCGATGAAAGTTTTAAAAGTCTCACTCGTTATTACTATTATGTATTTAAAGAATAGTACCTGTGTAAGTTATTCCTACACTGTTGTTTACGTAATAATACCTACCACATGTTACATGCAAATAGCATTATAATTTGCGGTCCACGCGAAGATCAAAACAAACTACAAACGAAAGTATATAGAGCGTTATAATTTGGCACTTGGCACCATGTAAAGGTATACACACGCAACATGTTGATGTACGCCTATCTGGGTCACAAGATGTTAGACGGTAATTATGGTACCTAGTAAAAGAATCTTTTGGTTAATATTGTTTTCATCAGTATAACAAGCGCGTAACTATAGAATTACGAGTACATAAGGCAGGATACATATGAGTCAGTATATAGGCAAACGAGTTGTAGATATTTCAAAGTATTTAAACTTTTTCACCGACAAAAATTTATTATTATTAAACGACTTTCTTTAATATCTGATTATGAAATCCTACTTCTCATTACTACAATTGTAGTAACGCGGCAACTAACCCATAGACGCCAGGAAGCTTTTGGCTATAACTTTTACGACCCTATCCATTTATCAAATAATAATAAATTTGGTTATCGTAAGTCCTCTCCAAATTACTCCTACCCCGAGAGAACATTTCACGGAAACGGCACTGTCTCACAAGATTTTTTTGGTACCATTGAAAGATCGAGCCCTGCGGATTCGAGCCGATACGAGATAAATAGCACTGGTTTAACAATTTATATACGATACTAATACTATTTCTGGTTCAGATTCTTCTATCTATGAAAATATTAATAACACATACAACGGCATATCAGCCAACAGATTTTTTTCCCTGCATCTCTAATATTAGCCAATAATTGACACTTATGGGCTAGTTATCTTATATATAGTAATCAGATTCTGTACATTCTAAGCGTATCTATCTATACAGGGTAGTAACCCTTAAAGACAATATAAAGCATAACCAGTAGGATAAGTCGACCTAGATACTTTAAGAGGTTGTAGTTGAGTGATTTCTGATAGTGAAATCTATCAATAAGAATAGCTACTACCACCTCAAAATTTGTATTCGTGTTTTAAAATATTTTATATTACATTTAAGTGTCTAATGCTCAAGCTTGACGATGTAAATTTCTTAACTTAAAATTTGTATTATTATTTATAAGCATTTATTGGCAGAGAGCAGAGCCTATACACTTTTTTTTTTGTAAATTCATATATGTATATTTTACATAGAAAACACCCAAACGCCGAAACAAATATTTGCAGATCATACAAACAAACTCAAACTCAAAATTGTTTGAATTCGTCTTTTATGTAGACTCTAAAGTCATAGAGTTGATCTATGAGTTTAGAAATCTCTGTTTTGTCAAATCCATTGTTGTTGAGTCCGACCCGGGAGTCGTACCCAACACCTCGGCACAGCAGTCGCATAAGCTACCACTGCGCCACCGAGGCAGTACGAGTTATGTACTTAATAATATTCAAAAGCTGTTGCAAAGAATTACAAAATAGTTTAGAACCTTATCCTAATATTTATATCATGATTTAAAATCACACAAAATCACCTAAGAACAATTTATATCATGATTAGTGTGTCCTTATACATATAATCATTTTATACTAGACACGTCCATTGAAAGGAAAAAAAAAACGGCGTGAGGGTCTATGGACCCTCGGTCGGATCGAAGTTCAGTTCGCTTTTTGGTAGACGTTGATAGGACTATACTACAGGTCATATTTATATGAAATAAAACTAGGTATATGGGCTCGCTTAATTCCAGCCGGCCGTTGCCACCCGGGACGGTCGGCAACGCGGTGACGCGACGGCTGCTTTGCCCCCGCATTTTAAACCTTTAATATCTTCTAATATATTCGTTTTGGTGATATGATATGAAGATATGAAGAATTTTAATCTACCATTTATCCATATCCAATCATATTTATCCTTAGGAGATAGACGTATACCATCACAGACTTTTTTGTAGATCCTTTTAAGCTATACAATTTCATATTAAATTATTTTGGTCTATCTCGTAAGGTCTCGTTTACAATGTAAGCCCACAAAAGCGACAAATCGACAAAAAAATTACGCCATATCTTTGAAGTTCTCGGATTTTCTCTACTATAATATGCATGTAATATACTGTCTATCGGTGTAAACCGCATAAAACTCCGTTGCTTAGTTTAAAAGATCTAAGCCGTACTATAGCAAGAAGTGTCGGAAAAGTCTTGTTACGCATTTTTCGACTGCCATCCGCTCAGCGTGTAATGTGCGATAAGAGACTTCGTTCCAAAAGGTGTCCTTAAAATAGATTGGTTTTACGATCTAGGTAAATTGATGAAGTTTAGTGGTTAATGAAGATTTTTTAACGCAACTTAAAATATTGTTATTCGTTCCAGAAACAAGAGGGTTACCCGGCCGCAGCACCTAAACCTGAATACGGACCACCCGTATCGGCGCCATCCTCAGAATATGGTGCTCCTTAAGGTTGCAACTCTTGACGATGATAAACCCAGACGATCCTTACTGCTTGGCCTTCTTCTTTAGGCACATTATACAAGAAAACTGCCTGAATATGTTATTTAATGATCTAGTTAAATTTTTAGGTTTCAAATAAAAATAAATTCTAGTAATACCAAAGTTCCAGTACAAGCAATTTTTAAGATATTTAGTTTCTGCGTAAACGATACAAGGCCTAACAAAATAAAAAAAGTTTTTCGCTTTTGTTCTGGATTCAAATTGAGCTACATGCTTGAGGTACCTGTCTTAGTGCTTGATGTTGTTACACCCATAAACAACAGATCTGGCAGTCCTAACCATTTCCGGCCTAAATGTTAGTTATGTTTATAGTTAGTTAGTATGGCAAGTTTAATATTATAGTTCAAGGTAAATTCAAATTTAAGGATTAAATTTGTTAAAATCAAAAGCTTTTTGAGTGAAAATAACTTTACTAAAGTAAATAAAACTACAAAATATTTTCGTTCGTCAGTTTACTCTGTTAATGAGATTTCAGTATTATTTGTTAGTAAGAACCTATAGAAGGTGGCCGAACGCTGTGAAGGTGGATTGCTGGTTTCACGCCAAACTGTACTGTGTCTGTTCGTTTATTATACATCAAATTGATGTGAATGTTTGTAAATATATTATTTTTATATGATTAAAATGTTTTATAATAATTAACACTTTAGTTTTATTTGTATGTCACCTCGAGTGTGACTTTGTTAATAAAGAATTACTGGCAGAGGAGATGATAAATATAGGATAAACTATTTAGATTAAATCAGGAATCGTCGTTAGACCGTTAGACTTATATAATTTGACGTAAAGCAGTAATTGGGAGTAGACTTGTGTAAATTCTACTTTTGACGTCCTATTATCATTAGTCTACACGAAAACTGTAAAAGGAACCGTATTTTGTGAGGCACAAGTCAGTTTGAAGTTGCAATAAATAACGTATTTTTCTAAGGACATCGCACCACCTTAGTAACATTTCTAAATAATTTTTTTTCTTCATTTCTACAAAATAATCTAAAAAGAAAATAGGTCAAGTATAGGTTTTAATTTAAATCAACACTATAGCTTTGTTTACATTATATTTTATATATAAAACCTTGTCCCTAGATTTTCCTGCCTACGATACATTTTATTCAAGCATTTTTAAATTAAATTATGATCTTTAACTTAGGATAAGTCTTAATAAGAAATAAAATATAACCCATTTATCACATCGTGGTTTTACCAATCTTTTATACAAATAAAGATCTGCAATGTTTTCGGAGATAATTATGATTTATAGTCCTCATGAAAATGTGTACGAGAAAATCCATTGCGAAAGGTGTTAACTAGCGTGCGACGAGGAGACTATTTAGTAGTCTGCTAAAAACGAAAACATGTGAATTACATACAAAATAGTCATTGTGATTACTTAATTCCCCAATGTTATGTAATGCGGATTTTCATATAAACATAACGTAAATAAGTACGTAGATTTGTTTGCAACTTAACAAACAAAAAAACGTAAACAACGTTTAGCGTTTCAACAAAAGCATTAGGTATATTATTTCAGGTAGTCCAACAACCTTTGTTCTCGACAGGTATGCTTCAGTATCTGTTATTTTCCTGCTTTCAGTTTGCAACAATGTAGCAATTGCCTTTAGCTGTCTATTGCGCACAAGTATATTTCTTTGTAAATTCGTAATTTGAAGAAAATATTTACATGTATGTAGTTTTGTGTATTTACAATATCTACAGTACCTTGATTAATACATACATAATAATTAATACAATTCAGAGTTCTGATTTAACAGTGCCAAAAGGTACTGAAATTCTATAAATTTCACTGTCGAGCATCATCTCGCCTGTACATTCATGTCTTGAAATGTAACGTTAAACAACTATTCTGAAATACCCTTAAGAACTCTTATCAATACACACCGACTAAAGACGTGAACATCACACACTTTAGTAGGTTAAGTCAATCATGATCTAGGCATGTGAGGAATAAAAAGTACTAATACACATAAACATAATTTCGTTATAGTGGACGTTTTATCGCCCTGATCAAATACTTTATTCAATCAAATTCGTTATAAATATTGATAGATTATATGTGGACATAGCAAAATAAGTATTGCTACTACCATTTATTGCCTATTACACCTGCATATAAATTACGTAAATTGCTTCAGTGATGTTCATAAACGTTAAATGGGCGATACTTACCAGATGACCTATTGCGTTGATGGGTGAAAGCTGCATTTTGACTGGCAACACGCACCGATATAAATTACATGTGCCGGTTTTCTTATAGACAAATCCCTTATTAGAGTTAAAATTTGTTTTTTGTTCCCGGCTTCGTTTTGATCAAGTTATTTTGCTCTCCCTCGGGAAGTTGTATGCAAAATTTCATGATGATTGGTTGAGAAGTTAAGGCGGAACAAACCAATAAACTCAAATTCGCATTTAAAAAGTAGTAGTTTTTTTTTATTAGGATACTTAAAGAGGTTTTCGTTTGGAGAAGAGAGTAATTACTTGATGCTAGAGACTATTACCGCTAACATTGGCTGTTTAAAAACAAGATATTTTTTTTAAAGTTTGAGATGAAAAATTTGAGCAGTATATCAATTAATTACCCGTTTAAGAACACTAGTACAAACAACAACATTGTGCAAGAGTATGTCTTATTTAATGAGAGTTCACAAACAAACGCTGTCTAAAATCATGTAGACCCTATGTCTGTGCTTTTATTATTGTGTTTAAAGACAAGAAAACGATCCAAATTATCTCCACCGTGTGTACGTGTATTCAACAAGATGTTTTGCATCGATTATTAAAATGTACTAATTATATGATTCGGAACCTGAACCAGCAATGTTTCAATTTTAGAGGAATAAATTCAATGGATACTGAAATTGTATTTTGAACATGGCTTATTTTTTTTCGTTAGACGCATATCTTTAAAACACAGTATTTTGTTGGTCACGGATTATCAATTCGAGCATTTCAAACTTGAATAGAATGCTACTGTGGTATTTTCATCGGTGCAATATAAATAGTGTCACTACAAAATATGATTAGCTTTTTTAATATTTTCAACTCCGGTTTCAGTGCGCCCAAATCCACCATCATCATCATCATCGACTGGCCTGTTCGTCTAGTGGTTAACGATCCTGACTGCTAAGCCGAAAGTCGTGGGTTCGATTCCCATTTCAATTTTAAATAATAATTCCGGTAATAATATACGTCAATAAAAATAAACAGCGGCAAATGGTGAAGATATCTAATTGAATACTCACGCAAAAAAGAAATTTGACGAATTCAGAATAATTTCCTTGGAGTCAGCTATAATAATTGTTAGCTAAACAGTTAACACCGAATGGGCAGGTGATTTTTAAATCGGTATTTTTACGTATCGATAGTTACATCTCTATTTTAGAATTAATCTCACGTGAACATAAATATTTATGTAACTTTTAAATATTCATTACATACCCATGTTTGGCTGTCCTCGACCTAATAAAAAATTACATTATGTAAGTATTGTTACTTACATTTCCTTTCGTTATACAAATTTTAAATTCAATTATTAAGAAGGATTACTCTTAATATTATTGTTCGTTTTATTCTAGGTCATAATTTACTTTCAATGCCGAACACCGGCAACCGGACGGCCTGACCCGCAGACGCCGACTAATCGGGAGCGGGAGCCTTTTTTCCTTACGTAGGAGACTGGCCAAGAGGAGAAAACCTCTATAAAAAACCACCCGGGCAGAATGGCGTAGGCCATATGTCCAGACATATCCTTCCACTTGTCCCTCTGTCGCGCAGAGGGCATGTGCGAGGGTTACGTTGGAGGACGACGATTCACGGGGGCGACGGGACCGCCGTCGGATGCTCTGCATGGAGCAACTGACGGTAGTCACTGCCGAACTCCGGCAACCGATCGGCCCAACCCGTAAACACCGAGGAATCGGGAACGGGGCCTTCTTGAACGGGGAGGAGGGTAGAGAAGGCCACGAGGAAGAAAACCTCTATAAAAAATCACCCCTAACCCAAGCTGAGGAAGCCCAGTGAAGAAGTTAACGGCTGGGGGGGTATCCCAGTCGCTAGGGCAACACAGCGTTAATTCACGCAAAAGAGCAAAATAATAATGGACGCGACCAAAAAAATTAAATTACCCCAGGAGGGTACCGACCGCACCGCGGTCGGAGAATCCCTCAGCACTCCGGTTGAGATCGGAGTGTTCAGCCCATCGTATTCTGGGGGGGCACAGTTGCGTGCACAGAGGTATCCGAGTCCGGGCACATTACCCGGGGCGCACACGCCCAGTTTTGTGCGTCCCAGAACGCCGAGTCCGGCGTCTTCCCTCGCCCAGTCGGGCGAACGAAGAAAAGGAGGTAGGCGAGCGCCAACTACAGAGCTTGTGGAAGGCCCAGGGATGGAGTGGCAGCGGGGGGATTTCGGGGATAGCGACGCTTCGTTGTTTTTCTCTATCTCCTCGCGGTCATCATATGCCCGCAAGCGCAAACCGAAGGGACCGGCGGAAGAGACCCGACCCACCAACGTAGCGCGGCCACGGAGGGGCGCAGCAAATGGCGGAGGCAGTGGAACTGGGACAGGGACGGAGACGGAGCGCGAATGCGCAACCAGGGGTCCGTCCACTTCCCCAGTTGCCTCAGGAGGAGAGCAGTCCCACGTCCCAGTCCCATCTGCTTATGCAGACGCTCGCTGAGCAGTCGGTTGCCCTAGCGGTGGTGGCGGAGCCGTACTACGTACCGGATCACCCTCGGTGGTTTGGGGTGGACGACGGGACCGCTGCTATATATTGGGCAGGGGTGGAGAATGGCCTCCCCTGCACTCTTCTTCAGAGAGGGCTGGGGTTTGTGGCAGTAGAGTGGAGCCCCATGGTCATTGTGGGCTGCTACATATCTCCGAACTGCGGCCTCACCGTATTCGAGGCGTACTTGGACGGACTCAGGAGTTGTAT